ATCCTCTGTCACTTCTAGAATGCAGACTTTAGTCTGTACCCGTTTTGTACAGCCAAATTGTCTGAAAAAAAACCATAGTAAGAACTTATCAGTATCAACCAACAGAAACATTTTTAAGAAGAACTGTTTTATTGAAAATAGGATTTCTGTGCCAGGCCCTGCTCCTTTTATAACATCAATAATGGTGAAGAATTATGGCTACATAAAGACCAACTGAAAGGCATAATAACCCAACCTCAAGCCTTATTTCATTAGAAAATGAATTTGGATGTGCAAAATAAAGGATTTTATGTGGAATTTTCACAAGAGTAATGGCCTAATTCTACTTCCCTTGAAATCAATGGGACTTCATCCTTTATTTACTGGGAATAGATTTAGACTTGCAGTGAATACATTTGATAGTCCCCCTCCATCTTTAAATGTTAACCTTCAAACTAGAAATAAGCTCACATATTTTAATGGTTAGGGTACTTAACCAATGAAATAACTCACCTAGGGATGTGATACATTCACCATCACTTGAATTCTTTAAATAAGACTGGATTGAAGTAAAAGATATACTTTAGCTCAAATTACTGAATGAAGTCTCCAATGACTTGGATTTTAAACAGGCATCTCACAAAAAGTGGAAGTGTGGCCATATTAGTAACAATGAGTTTAAGACTATAGTACAAGCTTGTAGGGAGAAAAAAAAATCAGGAAAAGTAAAATACAAACTGAGTTGCACCTAGGAAGGAATATACTTGCGGGGAGGCTGCTCCATTGTACTGTAATTACATAAGCATAATTACAGCACGTTGGAGTAGACTCTATTAGTCAAGTCTGCTGGAGTGTGCTAATTAACATGCCTCCAGCAGCCTCTGCATCTCGTATATCAACATCCCCATGTTTCAGAATGGCAATGGGGGTGCTTTAGCTAAAGCTCGTTCAACAAACTTTAGTTAAAGCACCCCTGCCACCATTCTGAAGTGTGGGGACGCTAATACAAGAAATGCTGAAGGCACTTTAATTGGAGCAGCTCTTAGAGTCACTCTAATTAAAGCACTGCCCCTCCCCACCACCCCGGTGCATGTGTAAAAATGCCCAAAACTAGTAAGTGGAAGGTCAAGGAATGTGCAGGCCCTTCACTGAATGAGGAATGCAATGCAACAACAGAAATTACGGGAAAGGCTGAAGTGTTCAATTCTTTTCTTTTTTTTCTTTTTTAACTTCAGCCTTCACAGAATGGTGAAGCATCAGATACCAAGTACAATAAGTACCAAGGAGAGGAGCTATAATCATCTTAGAGTAGGGAAAAACAGGTTAGAGATTGCTTACACAACCTGGATGTTTTCAGCTCAGGGCTACATGACATGTATCCTGGAGCCCTCATTGAAAAGGCTAAGGTAATTTCAGGCCAGTTCAGTAGTCCTGGAATTACAGGGAACCTGCACTTGTGGATTAGAAACTGGCTCAAAGATAGAAAGCAATGAGTGAGTATAAGAGGTTAGTTTTCAGGGTGGAAAGTGGCAAATAATGGGGGCCCCTGGGATCTGTGTTAGGACCAGTGCTGTTTAGCATATTCATATAGATATGGTCTGGTGAAAGAAGTGAGTAGTGAGGTGGCCAAATTTGCTGATGACACAAAATTATTCCAAGTGGCAGACTGTGAGGAACTACAGATGGATCTGGCATGATTGAGTGAATGGGAAACCAAAGGACTAAATAGAAGATGCAATTCAATGTAGATAAGTGTAAAGTAATGCACCTGGGCAAAGATACCCCAAACTACACCTACATTATGATGGGCTCTACATTAGCTGTTACCACATAATACTGTGGCTGTAGTAACATGCGCTCACACTAATGTAACTGAGGAGCAGGCTCAACAGGGATACCAGAATGCCCAAGCACCTCAGGAGCCTTTGCTTGTGGCAACCTCATGCCACCCAGCCATAGAAGCCAGGTAGCTTTGCATCCCATTGTGCATTTGGGGAAGCTTTGAGCTGAATGGTGCCCCTCTCTGGGACATTATCATAGGAGGTGTGGCTCCATGCCCAGTAAAGTATCTGAGGGGGCGAGCAAACAGGGCACCAAGGACAGTCCCCAGGGAGCCCATGCAGCAAGGCTGGTACAGCTGGTGTGTGATGAGCCAGCCCTGCTGCAGCCTGTGCACTATGGAGCGCAGGGCTGCCCGACTTCTATGGCTGGGCAATGAGGGGCTGCACCTGCCACAGAAAAAGCTCCCAGGGTGAGGGGGGCATTTTGACATTCCCTCCAAGTTGACACCTGAGCCATGTGCCCTGCCCTAGTTATACCACTGGCTACTCGGAAGAACTTTCTAACTACAAGAATGGAAAAAGCACTGGAACAGATGACACAGAAAGGTTGTAGAATCTCCATCAATGGACATAAAGTTCAGATAGACAGGGATAAGCCTGCCTTGAGCTGAGTGTTGGACTAGATGACCTCCTTATGTCTCTTCCAGTCCTAAGACTGCACGAGATTCCATGGCTTGCATTAAGCTGTAGACTAGAGTAGGTAGTCATAACAGTTCCTCTGGCCTTAATTTCTCCATCTCAATAGTTTCATAGTTGGTAGGGTTGGAAGGGACCTGAGCAGATCATCAAGTCCGACCCCCTGCCATGTCAGGAAAGAGTACTGGGGTCAAATGACCCTGGCTAGGTGTCTATCTAGCCTCCTTCTGAAGACCCCCAGGGTAGGAGCGAGCATCGCTTCCCTTGGAAGTTGGTTCCAGATCCTAGCCGCCCTGACTGTGAAGCAGAGCCTCCCAATATCTAGCCTGAATCTACTCTCAGTCAACTTATGGCTGTTATTCCTTGTTACTTCCAGTAGTGCTGGGGGAACAGGGACTTTCCCATCGCCTGCTGGTCTCCCTTGGCCAGTTTATAGACAGCCACTAGATCCCCTCTCAGCCTTCTCTTGTGGAGGCTGAACAGGTTCAGGTCCCGTAGCCTCTCCTTGTAGGGCCTGCCCTGCTGCCCCCTGATCATGAGAGTGGCCCTCCTCTGGACCCTCACCATGTTGTCCACATTTCTCCTGAAGTGAATAAAATGCTACAAATTAGTTTCTACACTGTAAAAGTTCCCTTCACTGTTTGGTTCCTTGTTATTCAAGGCTGGGCTTTGCAGTGCTTATACCCAGCTTTTCTTTATTCTCTTTTCCCCTTATACATGTTGCTGGTATGACTGGATGTGCACTTCACAGGCATCCACAAAAAGGACCAAATTCTTGCTTAGCATACCTCAGCTGAAGTCAGAGAAGTTACACCAGCACATGCATTTGGCCTATAGTCAAGCCTGGTTTCCTTCCAGGTATTCAGCTCCTTCTATTGCTAGTATTGCTGCTTTGTTATGCCCAGTTAAATCAGCAGACTTCTCAGTGTTCTCACCAGAGGCATAGCTGCCAGTTCTGCACCCTGGGTGGTGCCTGAGTGTAGTACAGGAGCAGTGGTCAGAAGTCTATTGGAGGGAGATGTCACCTCCTTTTTTTTGCTGCCAGCATGTTTTGAGTGCCCCATATATACATTGATTTTTGGCAGCAAAAGAGCAATATCTCCCCCTACAAAATCATACCTCTGGCTGCTGCTTGTATATCATACACCACCACTGCCCAGGGAATTGTGCATTGCTGCCATAGCTCTGTCCTCCTTGCTCTGCATCTTTCAAACAGTGCCTTCAGCTCTGGCAGCATGGCAGGGATTGGGGAAGGAGTGAAGCATGTCCCTTGCTCCAGTTCAGCAGTCCTCCTCCTTAGACAGCACCTGGGGTTTGTGCCCTGCTTACCCATCCATTGTTACACTACCAGTGCTCACCTTATGTAGCATGACTGCTTAGCAAAAAGGTAGTTTCCTTTTCTTGCTTAGTCCTTAGGCTCATGCTCATCTGCATGCAGGTTAATACAAGTTAATGCATGTAAAACAATGGTAGCTGAGATAATGCTCAGGAAGCCTGTTCCTTTAGGCTAGGGACAGACATTACACATAAACCAGTTTAAGTCTGTAACAGAACAGATGTTCACTGCACATAAATCAGTTTGAAAATGGCTTGAGATAAATCTGGTTGAACATAGTATCAGACTTAACCAATTTGGGTCAAACCAGTTTATGCAATGTCTATCCCAGGCCCCTTCCTGGTGTAACTCAAACCAGAGTCCCCCAGCATCCCAGATGCTTTGCAGCCTTGGGTGGGGCTCTTTGTTCCACAGCAGCGCTGGCCCCCCCCCCCCCCCCTTAGCTGGAGCTCTGGCAGAGACCGCAGGTAGTGGCATCTGCCTGGCTTCCTCTTGCCCTTCCCCTGCTCCCACAGCATGGACCGTAGCCAGCTTGCAGTATGTTAGCTAATGCTGTGACACATCTGTGTAAGGCACAAAGGTAGACAAGACAGTATCCGCTTAGGCCTTTTGGGAGCTAATCAACAGGTAGCTGGTAAAGTCCCTCCATTCCTTCCTTGGAAAAAGATGTTTAAGAAGAGCTTGAACTAATGAGAGAGGCTTTTATTTTGTTCTGATGGGGTGCTAAATGTTCTGTTATCAACTCCCGCTACAACTCCCTGCTGGCTCCCTCGCTGATCAGAAGCAGCGAAGTGGGGTGGGGGGAGGGAAGGGGAACCCCTCTCTAATCAGAGCATCTGGCTGGGGCCTGGCCACACCCCACCCCCAGCTCAGCAGTGTCAAAGGGAAGGGAGGGCTGCTCTAGTGCCCCCTCGCTTCTAGCCTGAGCCACTGCAGGTATGTGCTGGCATTTCTCCAGTCCAAAGGGAATATCTGTGCAGTTACAAACCGGTTCAGCCTCACCAGGTTAGACTAACCTGCAAAGATTGAATCAATTTAGGCTCAGGCTTTCTGAATGTCTGCCCCTAGCCTCACTTATCTCACCCTTGCTCAGGACCTAAACCTGAAGCCCACAAATGAGTAACTCCGCTCACAATAGTCTCCTCCTCCGCCCAGTATTAGTCATTTAAGTTATTCATGCAAGGTTATTTATTCCTGTACATATTTATGGGATAGAGCCCTGAACTAGCTGGAAAGTGCTCAGCACCCTGCAGGATGGAGCCAGATTAAATGCTGCCATATAAAGAACGATGCAAACACTTTGAATGTTCCAACTTCTGCGTGTGTTACAGCTACACTAAATCACTTAACATAAATAACACCAGCTAAAAATCACTGGGACTACTCCAGCCAAGAAGACAAGCATTCAAGGGTTTTTCTTTGAACCCTAGTGTTCTTTTTTTATTAGTGTTTTTTCTCTACAATGAATGTACAATGGTATTGTTTCTTGCTTACATCAGCCAACACGTTATACAATGGAAAGTTAATCAGATGAGTTTTTGGAGAAAACAGAGCAATAGAGATAACTATTTTAATTATACAAAGAAGCTAGTTTACTGCTTCCCTGCTAACCAGCTTTTCCATCTCTGCCTCCATCCCAGCAGTATGGAAGACAGAGCTCTATTGCTATTTTGTGGGTAGCACTTATCAATCAGATCCTGTCCCTAGATTAGAGAAGTGGGTGGTATGTATGTATTGTCTGCCCTGAGTGGCTATTATGTACATAATCTCTAATGCTCCTTTGCCAGTGTGTGGGTAGGCAGCACTTTTAATTGCAAGACACCATGCAGAAGGTATTTAGGAAGACAGAACATGATTAGGGAATTGTGGGCTAGAATCCTCTTTAAATAAGCCCAGAGACAGAGGGCAGCTTGCACTCGATTATTCAGGGCCTACCAGGAGTAAGTTTACCCCAGGCAGACAGGTGTATGGCTATTGCAGGGTTAAAGAAACATTTTGGATGTACTTCTTCAGCATTGTTCATACCCTTTCCTGCCTGGAATACCTTTACGACAGCAGTTGCTGTATAGTCAGGTTAGCTTAGTTCCCAACACCCAGAACTCCCCACCCCAGAGATATTTCCAGAGATGAGTAAATCTTGTGTGCATCTGTGCCACCCTATTAGTCTCCTATACCCTGCATTAATCAACATGGGTTAGTTCATTTTGTTCCCTTGCCCTTCTCTTCGGCTTGGCAGGTACCTGAAGAAGCAGTTAAACAACTGGAAAGACAAAGTTCAGCTCCTCCACAACTCCCAGGAAGACACAAACAGCAAACTAGAAGCAAAGTTCCAAGTGTTGATGGCAAAACATGAAAGCCTAAGGGCAGAGCTTCAGCAAATGAGGCAGGAAATAAAGGTAGGATGAACACCGCACCAGGAATCTTAGCAGTGAGCAGGCAAATGGCATACTCCAACAACTTCTCATAGACCGGCACTATCTCATTGTTTCTTTGTGCTTTCCCTGCTTGTATATTGACAACTAGAGTCTAGACTCCTCAGGGAAGGGACATTTTTTTCTTGTACAATACCTAGCACAGTCTTTGCCCATAGTTTGAGCTCCAAGAAGCTACTGCAATACAAATAAGAATTTTTCTTCAAAATCTAGCAAAGTGAATAAAAATGAATAAGAATGTGGGAGCCTTTGGAGGGATTCAGGAAGAGTCTCCCCAGAGAATTGCTCAGTATCTCATCATCCACTATGTTTAAACCTTACTAAAAAATACACTACACGGAAAAACCCTACATGGGAAAGATATATAAAATTGGTTAGTAAAATTGTGACATACCTAGTTTCCCTCCTAAATTGTCAGATAGAAATGAATTATGCCAATGGCAAATGCCCTACTTCTTCCCAAATATTTTAATTCTGATTCATGTAAAGTATCCTTGCTTTCAAAATTTTAAGTGCTGTTTTTATTGAAAATCATCAGTCCACACTCTCTACAATTAGACCTCATCTTGCAGCTAGGTTTATATACGTGCAATCTGCATGTACAGCCCACACCAAGTGACCCAAACCGGTGTGTGGGTATGGGTGTGTATGTGGTCCTTTTGAGTTTTGTTTCAATTCCTTAACCATAAGGCCATCCTTCCTTTCTCTGTTAGTATTGTATCAGATTTTATCAACAATAACTTCCTGTGTAAAATGTGATGAATTACTCTGCATGAGCCATTTTCTCACTTCATATATTTGCAGTTTGATTTTCTTAGTTAGATTGTTCTAGAATAATTTTCCAGCAAATTAAGTCTTGGGCTATTATCACCTCCAATTTTTATTGACATAATGGGGTGTAATATCCTCCCCATTATGAAATTACAACATCTTAACAGAAATTGATAATTAAGAAATGAAACCCATGTACAACGTAATTAGACCTAATACTCTGGAAATATGACAGTGGGGGAAAATGCAAAGGGATAAAAAGATAGAGCCTGCTGATTTTTCTATACACACCAGTTTTTTTTAATGGGCCCGATCTGAAATCCATGGAAAAATTCTCATTGAGCCATTTGTGCCTACAGTCTGGATCCAAGACCTTAACCTCATTTTGCTAGGTACGATACAGTACAGAAGAATAGGGGGAAAAAAAAGTCACATTCTGAAGAGCTACTAAAGCAATTAGACAAGACAGCCTGGGAGAAAGGAAGCACATATAGCCTTTTTTCATATTACATCCTCACAGGAAGAATAACTGCTTTGCACTGGAATTTTGCTGTAGGGGTAGGAATTGAAACTAGTCCTTCTGTGTTCTGATTCAGTGCTTTAACCACATGGCTATGCAGCCTATCTGGGCTTCTATTAGTATTGTATCAGAAGTTGTCAACATGAAAAAATAATTCATTAGGTTCTACACAGGAACTACATGAAAACTTTTTTCCCCCACTGAGAAGTGCAGGTTTGGGTCAACCACAATATTTCACAGATTTGGGTTATTTTCAGTGAAATAAGACAATAAAAATTAACCAAAAGTTCTGCTTCATTTTTTTTAAATCAAATTATTTTGATTGTTCAAAATAGAGCATTTTATTCTGAAATTAATCTTCTTTTTAAAAGTAGATAACAATCATTGAAATGAAAATAAAACATTTAATTTCAGGTCAGAGAAATTATTTTGTTCAATCTAAAATGAAATATTCCCTCCTCCTCCCTCCCTCTGTTTGATTAATCAAACTAAGAGTTTCAGGTTGACCACAAATTAATTCTTTTAAAGTTTTAGGAACTACCAGCAACTGAAAAATGAACTTGCTATTCCTGTGTTATGTTTACCATAGGTATTATTACAGCCACCAAACCACCCTTCATTCTCAATGGGCCAAAATATGGAGGCAAAAAATGAGGATGCTTTGCAGGAAATTAGACTACAGCCTGCATCGGATTCTATTCTACTGAATACCAGCCCTGGAACATGTGGGAGTTGTAAAGCCAAGGACCCCTTCAGCATAGTACAAGGAGGGCAGCTCTTACAGATCCAGGATGATCCTGTTACAGTCAACATGAGATTATCAGGTGACAAGCTGAGGTCCATACCTGTGCAGCATGGAAATCCTTTTATGGGACAGCATGAGAAGTCAAGAGAGAAAGGTATCCCTCAAGCATGTCAGCCAGGGACATCCCAACCTGAAATGACCAGGATCCTTCACAGTGAAATTATGCCCCTGGCTCCTGGTCATGCTGCAGCACAAGTGCAATTTCGTGAGAAGGAGATACAAGAGGAGGAGGAATTGCAGCAGCTAGTGATGAAGCTGAAGGATGCTTTGTCTTTCCAAGTACAACCAGGTGAGAGTTCCTAGAGTCATCACATACTGGGCCCGACTCCTCTTTCCAGTATCCAGTTTACCCTTGCATATCTTCATAGACTTCAGTGGAGGAACTACTGATGCATACAAAGATGAAAGAATCAAGAACTAGAGCCAATGGACAATTCTATTCTAGTATTAAAACAAAACATTTTTAAAAAATAAATAAATAAATAAATAAAAATCAGAGAACAAGGTTTTTCTCAGTATTAGTAGAGGTATAATCTGGACTAAAATCTGCACATAATATACAGATTATGAACATCAGAACTAGGAATCAAAGGTTAATTTTCTCCTGGTTCTTGTTATAGAACCTCTACTACAATGCCTCATCAGTCTATTACACTTAAATCCAGAGCAATGCTTTTGATTTAAACAGAATTACTCCATATTTGGACCCAGAAACTAGCCCCCAATGCTTGAGCCATTTAGAAGTGGGCAAGATGTTGTAACAGTCAGTTAAAGAAATAGGCTTATATTAGCAGAAGCTATACAGAAACAAAGGGAGAGCATGGTGGGGCAAAATAATGTAAGCAGCTGCATTCCCAGACCAACCTCATGACATTGTCCCATGCAGCACTGCTGCCCAGGATGCTCAGGCCTCACCTTATAGACAGGAACCTCAGAGATCTCTTCTACCTCTGTTGTACAAGTCTACGATTGTTTGCTTTCTAATCCCACAAAATCCCTTCTTAATCAGTACAGCACTCAGGATACCTCACATTCTTAATAAGCAAAGCTGACAAAGCTTTCATTTCCAAAGAGGTACCTTGAAGTGGGGTTTTAGATACAGTATTTGGGACTTTTGTTGCAGCATATGCTCTGAAAGGTATGCGATCTGTCTTGCTTTACAGCTCAGCAATCGGTTTTAAAGGAGGCATTACTCTCCACAGCTGAACATGTTTGCAGGTCCTTCTCTGATCTCATCAATCAAGCAACTTTGCCAGCTTGGAAGTGATGGGAAGCCAGCATTCACTTTACAGCTTCATTTCACTGTTTCCCAGGTAACTGAAGCCATGTCGGGCTCTCTAAAGTTTCCCAGATTTACATTGTGATAATCTAACTTAATTGCTTTCTGCTTCCACTGACTTCACCAGAAACTTCCATGGGCTTGAGAAAAATGCTCCATTCTTATTAGTCCTATATATTCCTACCCATCTCAAAGAAGAAGTTAGCAGCAGATCCTCAGCTAGTATAAATCAATGTGATTTTTCCAATGTTGCACTGATTGACACCAGCTCTTGAACTGGTTCATTCTTCTTATTGCTGCATTACCTGATAATAGGTAATGTTTCTAGAATGTCTGTTTTTACTTTCTACTGGTTTTTGTTTTGTTTTGTTTTTAACAGGGAAGATGAGATGGCTTTAGCTAGTCTGTTTCAAGGATAAGTTATCTGACATATCCAGCTTTGAAAAGCATTGAATAGAAAAGAGACATTCTTAACTGTCCATATTCTCATCATCTGGGAGTCATGAATTCGCATTTACCAACCAGGCATCTGAATTTATGAGAAGGAAAATGTGCTTTGACCAGTTTAGAGACATCTGATTCCTTTAGAAGTCCCTCCCACTGCTTACTTATTGATACATATGCATATCTAAATCCAGAACATTTAGCAAGAACCTTTTTGTTTGAAATATCTAAAAGGTTAGAAAAAAACCTGCATTTACTTTTATTTTGTTTTCTAGCACTGTGTATTCAGAGTTTTTCCTAGGCCATGCATCCATTCCATTCCAGTCTTACTTAGTCTTTAAAGTTCACACACTGATATTTTCTCATCCTTAATGCTCTTATTAGCACTACCAGCTGCCAGGCACATACACTAAATCAAGTGTCTGTGAGGGGGATTAAATATTGTTGGCTATGATCCCCACCTGAATGAGACTGCAGGATAAGCATATTTGCATATTTTTAAAGTTTTGTTATATTTGCATTCACTGGTCTTCATAAACCAAAGAGAACAATCATCTTGATGCTGCCTTGTTTTTGTAAATTGAAACTGGCTTTTAAGTTCATGTATACTCTTGAGATCATCAGCCTGTTTTCACTCTTCAGCTTTTTACATTTTCCCTGACTGCCTTTGTTCTAGAAAACATTTAGCTTTTTCCTTTACCTGTGTGCTGGGGGGAAAAGATAATTTCCACTTTAATTTGCCACTTGATTTTTTTTTTGTTTTACTGTTTCTTTAAGAAGATTTTTAGTGCGTTTACTGGGTGTTTTTATTTTAACAATTCATTTTCATTAGGGTTGTAATATTTGTATGCCCTATTGCCTTTCAGCTGTTCTGTAAACTATGGAAGTGTCAGGACTTCATTCAAAATTTGTCTGCTGTTTTGATTTAACCCTTTCCTTTAACTTTCAGGTCTGCTCACTTGCTTTTTACATATTTTAGGTTACATTAGCATTCAACAAGTTTCTTATTTTCTGAGGTAGTGGCTTTTATGCCTCATTGCTTTTTAGTGGCTAGATTTTGAAATCTCAGCTCTTTTATCCTTTCATCAAGAAAGGTACAATTTTAGCTGATTTCCTCCCCATCCTGCCCCTCCAACCACCAGTAACTTTTGGTTGCTCCTTGTATTTTTTCATTCAGGTCACAAGGTAATGTGCTTTGCCAGCCAAGCACATCCCTTGAAGCATGGCTTCTTTTCCTTGTACCTTTTTTGTGGGGGGATAATTAAAAAAAGGCAGCCATCAAAGTTTCCTCCATGGCTTGCCCCCTAGCCTAGATCCTTCAACATTTGTCAGGTATGATCCCCGGACTCCTTTTGAGTTCTTTAGGTACTACTATGAAGGATAACGATGACCTGACTGCCTACATAACCTTGTACTTTTTGGTTATGACACCTTCTGGTTATAACTGCTTTGTGTGATTGTAACTCGATTATTTCAACGAGGTACACCAACATAGATTGGAGTAACCAAGGAGAGTCAGGTCCAGGATATCTTAGAGTTGTTCTGGGATAAGGCTGAAGGTTATGACAAAATGTTGGGTCTGGGTTATTAGTTTACTACCGGATAGATAAAGAAAAGGCAAGATTTCTGAATGTGTGATGCCTTACCAATATTTACTATTGACAATTTCTCTCTCTTTCAGGCCATTCTTGCTCTGTAAAGGATCCATTGTGCTTATTTCTTTGGAATTCTGCTGTATGTTTCTGGTTAATGACAAGAGTGAGGAACACGTTAAGAAAATACTGTACTTCAAGAACTAAGGGATGGGAATGTAGATCCATCATCCTGCGGTCATTGTTCTGCAAAAGATTCAGAGAACAAATACCAATGTGGACATGGATTTGCACAAATGATGAAAGCCATCATGATTCAGAAATAATTTTACCTCTACTAGATTGTTTAGGTCAGGACATAGTACAATGCTAGGTAACTGGCTCCAAACAAACCACCTCAAGTGCAGAAAGTGATGTGGCTGTATTACCATGGCCCTCCACCTGGTCTAATATACTCTGAGAAGCTGGGTATATTAGAGCAGTGCTTTTCTCAGGTTAACACAGATCTATACTGCTGCAACACCTGAGCTACCTTGATCAGAGACAGTTCAGGTCCCTCTACAAGGTACTGCATTGGATTATGTAGACATACCCTTACAGATGAAGTTAATAGAACTATGTGATTGTACATCAGCTGAGTATCTGGCAAGCAGAAACAAAACTTCTGTGTAAAAAAAGAAAAAAAAAAGAAGAAACTCTGGACCTAGAAACAGGCTTTGACTTGAGTGCAACTAAAGCCTCATTAGAAGCTTTGGAGGAAAACAGAAGTCGAGCAAGTCATATGCTGACATGCAGCTACATAATGATAATGCAGCTTTTTTTACTGATGATGATGGTAACAAATATTTTTACCGCTTCATCCTACCTTTTATTGCAGAAGCCCCACATCACGTTTAATGTAATCTTTCAAGAATAAATATGGGAAATGAAGGGGAGGGACTGGAAACTAACAAGCAGTTTGTCTTGAGCAGCAGTTCTCAACCTTTTTGGATTTAAGGTGCCTCTCATTGGACTCAAGGCACCCTACATAACTTTTGTGAATTGAGTGACAACTAATTTAAAAAAAAAATACAGAGCTTTTCTCCTTGCAGAGGGGTTGGGCAGTGGGGGTGGAGGATTGGCCAAGTAGGAACAAGCCTGAGCCTGTGCTTAATGCTTACCTGCTTATCTCCTCGCACTTCACTTCTCTCTTACCTTGTGGCACCCTTTAAAGGATCTGGCAACCCTGCAGGGTGGCCCAGCACCCTGGCTGAGCATCACTGGTCTACAGCAAATGAATGATGAAATAGTAAAGTATAGTTAGTAGTTTGGTAATTATACAATATAAGAAAACTTGAAAGCAATGGTAAAATAAGGACCACGGGAAAGCAGATGGAGCTGTACATGTATGGAAAGAGAAAGGGTGAAATATGGATGAGAATTTACTGACATTTGCAGCAAGGCCAATGTCCTTCTTGGCCTAAGAAACTATATTTAATGGCACCAGATTGAAACACAAGGAAGTACATCTTTACTAAGGTAGATAGGTATCCTGAGATCTTTACTCTGTTTTTAGTCAAGCTTTCTTTAGGCCAGTACGAACTGAAACACATTCAGGATTTGTAACAAGGAAAGCCTGAAAAAAAAGCTGAGTTTGCACTGCTTGGGGTTTGTACTGATGCAACTGGTATTTACCTGCTGGTATTTTATCATTGCCTCATGATGTAATGATCCTCTGGGAGGATAGACCAAAATGATGATTTCCATCCCCTGCCCACCATGGACCTCTCTGTAACACGACAGAGTCAAAATAGTCTACACTTGATGCCCTGTAAAGCATGCCAGAAATATCAATTATTTGACAAAATCTAGGAGAGAAGGGGCCACATTTATAGGAATGGTCTGGGGAAGGATGTCTGGTAGGTCTAGAGGGATGGATTTTGTGCAGTGGTTTAGTCTGGCCAAACATATTCATTCCTTGCTCGTTAATGTTTTCTGCTGCTGGATTGTAATAAACTTGTGATTTTAAGTCTAGTTAATTGTTAGAGTACATGGAGCTTTTTCTTTGCAATACCCCATGGGGCCTTTTGCCTTCTCACAGTACTTCCCCTTTAAGGGGACGCATCCAGTAGGTTTCTGGTGTACTAGTTAGGGCCACCACTGTAACAGCCTTGGCCCCTTTTTCCTCTCTGGTCATACCTTTCACCTGGGCCTACTGTTCAAGACCCCAGCCTTGTCTAGATAGCAATTCCCTTTCCTGGGGGTCCACCTGCACCTCAATAAACTCTGCCCCTCTGTCTCAGGCCTGATTTCTGGTGCTTATTGCAGAGGAGTGCCCTCAAGCAGCCTGTCTGTGGCCTCTGTCATCCCTTATATCCACTTCTGGTCTATCAGTAGATCTAACCAAAACATAAGTGCCAACTTCATGGCTGTAAAACCAAGTCCTCCTAACCCTGGGTTAATACTTGCCTGCAGCCTAAGAGTTCCCCATGGCTGCTTCTTTTTCATAGCTGT